TAATTGATCATTTACGCACCTGCTTCTCCAAAAGTTCAGCTGTATTACCGCCAGGTTGCATCAATCCCAACGAACCGGACGCATTATTGCCACCACGCAGCGCATCTGGTGGTGGTGATGCCTTATTAAATTTACGCACTTTAGCTATAATATTGAAAACAGTTATAAATAAATATTTAATTTTTAAATCCAAAAAACATGCACGTCTACTCACAAATATAACAACCATGTGTTGAACTCAAAACTATTGTCTCCAACATATTGAAGCCTGCAATATAAGAGACGGGCGAAAGAAAACCTTCTGCGCAATGTTCCCAAAAATTTACACCGTAATAGTGATGTATGCCAGCCTGTACAGCCAGTATCATGGAATTCCATAGTGATACCACAGTCAACGGTATACCCTTTTGCATGGCGGTAGCCCGATGGAATTCATGATAACCATTCATGCGTAACTCATCGTGATGCTTTTTGATGAGATGATCGAATAGCTGTCAAAAGAAAATTGAAATAATAATTACTTGTATATATGGTTAAATGATTTTAAAACAAAACGCAAAAAAATATATAAGAGTGCATTATTCATGCATAGTACTTACAAAAGTTATCACCCAAAACGTTGCACGTAAGTATAGCATAATAAAATACGCTTCGCAACGTTTGTCCTCCGGCCAAACAGCAGCCAGCAGAATCCCAACAAACGAGATTATTGCTGAAATCAGCAAGTGAATGCTATACGAAAAAATGGAAATTCAATGAGATTTATGAATATACAGAAATCTTTAAGAATTAATTTCAGAGGGATAGGTCAGGGTGGTGCAGTTATTGGCATTGAATTTACGCTTTTGAGTTCTGACTCATGCTCCAATAAATAAATGTTATTGTTCTTAAAACGTATTAAGTAATTAAAATAGTGAGTGCTGTAGTGGTAGGGGCACTACTAAGCAAATTCTCGGGGTCAGACCAAAGGGAAAAGGGTGTTAGTGTAGGTATATAGCCTGGTTTTAAATAAATTTAGTTGACTCCATTCTACAAATGGACTTTTTAGGAAAACTTGTAGCTAAACTTAGACCATAACTGACTTTAATGTGAGACTCACCTAAAAGCCGGTATTGTTTTTAGTGCTTTAAAGGATCCATCTGAATTGGAACTCAAAACTGGATCGATCAGTTCCTGTGTATCGCTTCCCAAACTACCAGCACCTACACCGGTGATAGCGCCGCTTGTCATTGTTGTTGCACGATGATCGCCCATATTCATGTATTGAGCACCTTGCTACGGAACAAAATTAAAATACAAGTTGTTTTTTTTTTTGTGGATGACTCATCGTACCAGAAAGCTCATACAGATTTCTGCCTGTTTGGCAGTGTGATTTACTAACTAATTTGAATAATTTTATTTTATTCTTACCCTAATTGAGTTGAAAGTTGGGCCCAAACTGACCATATGAACAAACAATGGTTCCGATTCAACCTCGCTGCTTGCTGGACTTAAATGCGCATTAGCTTATCTCTACCGCAAAGGCATGAAAATTGATTGCAAATGTTATTTTCTTTATTTTATTGCAACACAGTTTTTCGCACTACGCTGATTGCTGATTGGATCGAACGTTTACATTCATAAAAAAAAAGGCTTATTTTGTTTATCTACGAATTGTCAAATGCATTTGCAATTATCACCCTATACTTCCGGTAGTGCATTCCAGTGACGTCCGGTAGTGCATTCCAGTGGAAGTTTTGTGATCTATCCCTGTTCTGACATTCATTGTTTGTTGGATTTGCACAGTTTTTCTTTGTGAATGACATTCGCATTTAGCGGCGTTTGTGAACAGGGTTGCAAATTCGTTTGAAAGAAAAAAAACAAATGTCAAAATAATACAGTGGACTCGAGCGAACTAATTAAGTCTCTTTATTTTAAAGTTTTTAGTGCCTATTTATGGCCTTTTTGCAATTTTTAGACGCTGAACACCTTTTGCAGAGAACACCTTTCAATTTTAGAGTTTAACTGTTTTTAATAGAGTAGCAGCACTATTCCTCCATCTTATTTATACTAACTTCACAAGATTGTTGTGCGGATTTCTCAAGGCTGGAATATTGCAATTAAATAAACAAGTTTGCACATAGGCTTCACTTAATACATCACAAATGTACAAAAACAAATAAATAAGCTGCGTTCATTTACTCCATTTATTTGCGTGAAATGCATCAAAAGGAAATGCGAAAAGTGCAAGTGTTTTTGCAAATAACTCTTTAATTAATTTTAAAAGTTAATTTCCGCGCTCGGTTTGTTATTATTAACGTTAAAACACGTCGACTGACACCACTCTCGAAATTGGTTTGTCCATTTTGGGCCACGTAAGCTAAAGTTTTCAATGTGTTCACAGCTTAAACGTTCTATATTACACCGGCAGCTAAACTGTATGTCACCAATCGGTTTGGGAAGCAAATGCACTACCGGGACCAAAGTAAAAAAGTTTGACATGCTGTCAAACTTACAAAATCAACGTCACTTCAATTTTGATTTTGATTCATTAATTGTATCAATTTTGCTACTTTGTAAAATATTTCTAATATCAGCAAATCTTGCCAATATATTAATGTCTTTTCACTATCCGCGTAGAGTAAAAGACTTGCCTGCATTGGAACCGGACTCTGATGATGATGATAGGGATGGGGATCATGAGTAATAACAAACAAGTTAAATCCTCATAATTTGGAACACAAAAATAATTTTTATATCTTATTAGACAGCCGAGCAGAGAAGAGCAACAAAATGATAATCCACAAAATAATTCAGGCGTTCTGGGTACATCCACAAAAAGTTTTGGGGCCTTTAGTAATATGCGGATGTTGTAAGTGGAGTACAATACGGTCTATTATTTTTCACAAATTATCTTATCTACAATATAGTCCCAAGCGTAGATCGGAACTGCCAACACTGGATTCAGATGAGTCCGAAGATGAAGAAAATCACAATACCGACAATTTGAATTGCGCTATACTTAACGATTCATTTATTATGAGCCCTGGAGATAGTTCTCTGCTGAAAACGCCTGGACCCTCTTCTGCGGTCAAGATGAAGCGAGCTCCAGATAATCTTTCATTTCTTTCAAAATTTGATAAACTGGCACTTAACACAGATGACAAAGAGAATGTTAATAAAACTGTCGAAGAGCCGCCGTTGACGCCAGCAGAAAATCCACAGCCGAATGCAGCCAGCACAGCAAGAACGACACATCTAAGCCGCGCACTTTCAGCGTGTCCACTGCAGAGCATAGATGAGGACAATGTGGCAAATGATCACAGTGCCGTCGAACCAAAACATGAATGTAATGCAATAGGAGCAACAGCGCCACTGCAGCGCTTTCAATCAGATCCCACACCTCAGCAACATAGTAAGCACAACGATTTAGAAACTCCACTTCGAAATAATGGTAGCACTGCCGTAGTTCCTGCCAGTGATGCCTCCGCGGCAGCCACTAATAGTCAAAATGTCGATACGCAATTCGCCACACCCCAAATACGTTCTTTTTCTGTGCAACGAAGACCCCGTGGCTTGAGTTCATCGCAATCACAATCACAACAACAACGTACGGCCCTAGCAAATGAGTTCCGCTCGCAGAAGGTACTTTTTCAAACTCCAATGGCTATATCGCGCGCGCCTGTTGTATGCTTACCCAATGACAGTATCACGTTATCACTTTGCGATAGCATAAATGGAGGCAGAAGCACACCCAATACTACTGAAAATCCTCCGCAGAAGAATTGTAATGAACATTTGGGTAAGGTGAAGTCAAAGAAGTCACTGGAGAGTGCTTTCACCGTCTCCGAAAAACCAGAAGAGTCTAAAGAAAACAAACAAGTGAACAACAACACAGAAGAAAACATACCTTCATCTAACGAGAAAGATGGCATTTTGCGTATAAACAACGCTGATTACACAATAATGAAAAAAATAGGATGTGGGGGCTCTAGTTCGGTTTATCTGGCGCAAAGAAATGCTGATGGAAAGGAGTGCGCGCTAAAGGTTATTAATGAAATGACTTCCAAATTAACTAATCAGCTTACTTAAATAATTATACTGTTTTAAGGTTGTTGATTTGCGCGGTGATCCAGTTGTAGTTGAAGGATACCTAAATGAAACAAAGCTGTTGGCAAAACTTCAAGGCAATGTCTGCGTCGTCGCACTCTTTGAATAGTGAGTAAAGGCGTACATTCCTTAAATATAATCCATCATTGAATTTTCTTCTTAATTTCTACCTAACATAGTCAACTTTTGCGTAAAGAATCTCGTCTTTTTGTTGTTATGGAAAAAGGCGACTCGGATCTGCACAAAATTTTACAAACGTATACTACAAACCTTCCGCTTTATGTGCTTATGAATTTTTGGTATCAAATGTTGCAAGCAGTTAACTACATACATCAAAATGGTAAAGTCAACCGAAATCTACTGCATGCAATGGGTATTTTTTTATTTTTTGTTATATTAACTGCAGGTGTCATCCATTCTGACTTGAAACCCGCAAATTTTCTAATGATTAATGGCCGTTTGAAATTGATAGACTTTGGAATTGCCAGCAATATTGCACAGGATTCAACAAGTATTATTAAGTTCTCCCAAGCAGGTACATTTAATTACATCAGCCCAGAAGCACTTACCGACACATCAACGGGATGCAGTCCGATGCGGAGTAATCAACCAAAGATAAAGGTGACCAACGATATGGGTCATAGTAGACAAAAATATGTTATTCGCCTTCCTAATTTTATTTTAGATTTCAACCAAGTCGGATGTTTGGTCTCTTGGATGTATACTATATCTACTGCTTTATAAACGCACACCGTTTTCCCAAATTAAGAACATCTATGCTAAAATTAATGCGATCACAAGTCCAACGACTAGCATCGAGTATCCAACTATACCACTCTATTATCCAGCGATGCTTGTACATGTAAGTACATACATATATTTGTTTGAAAAATAACTAAAGGTTTTTAATGCAAACAATGCATTTTTGATTATTTGTTTGGAAAAAACTAACTTTAATTTTAGTTCTTGCTACGACTAACATAAAAGTTAGGGTTAGAATCGTAGTCATCAACGCAAAAGGTCTTAAATGTAAGATTGAAAATTTCATAGAAGCGAAAAACGCTATCAATCCGTATGTCGTACTCTATGGCCCCGAGTTTTATGTATAATGGTATATCTCGAGCAAACTTAGGACCGTTTCCACAAAGAAGAATCAACTCATATTCGGAAGGCAGCTATAGATTTTCAGTAAAAAAATTGTATGTGACTGCGAAATCGGCCATTAATTAGTATTAAAAAAAAAAATTGTATGTGAAAAAACTGTGGGGCCTTTTGCATTGATAACAAATTATTTTTCCTACATGAATATAGTATATTTAAAAGCTTAAGTGCCGTTCTCTCAAGTAGGTTTTAAAATTTGTCTTCCCTTCAAACACACTTTTTCAGAAAAAATCTTTTATTTAAAGTGTAGATAAATTTTAAAACTTACTTCGGAAATCGGGCCTAAGAGGACTTACCCCTTCCTTATTTGCAGATGGCAAAAAATTGCCTGCAACACAACCCAAAGAAACGTCCATCTTGCGCTGAATTGCTGCAGTATCCATTTAATATGGTTATACCGATACAAAACTTAGCGGTACCATCAATGGTTAAGGAGAAAAATTAAGATACATATACTCAATATGAGGTTTTAGTTATTGTATGAAATCATGTTGTTTAAGATATTTTCCGTCAGTTATTTTTTAGGTAAAAACCTGTTAAAGAACAAATTAATTCTAAATACTTTTTATTATAATTAATATAAGAGCACAGAAAAAAATAAACATATTTTTTCTACATATAACTTTTTGTGGGATTTTTTAAAGTGGCAAACAAATGAATATTGGACCTTAATTATACTGAACATTAAAAATATGTTTTAAAAGTATATTGCTCCAAGCCGGATATTTTGTCTGGGCTTATATTGGGCCGATAGTCTTTAGTAAAAATCGATCCCCTAACGGTAAACCGACTATTATCAGATCGTTAAAATTGTTTTATAATCGTTTTCTGGCCTTCAATTCGATCAGCATGCCTGCAAAGATCAGTAGTCAGTGTGGAAATGGGGAAGATTGGTCTTATTGCTTAAAGTCTATTGGTCGATAAGACTCCTTTACCTGGTAGGACGTTGCTAATCCCGCAATTCATGTACCACCTGACAACAGCGAAACATCAGTAAGGCTTCCGTAAAGTGCACGGCACAACAACAGCATTTAACGCCATAAACACTCTAATAACTTGTCAAAGTCGTTCCACACCGTCTATAATTCCACGCTACTAGAAGATATGGAGGCCTCTCTGCCGCAGAGACTAAATTGGGTGTTATATAAGTGGTAGGAAGTTGTCAGTAACTTTCCGAGGTGAAGCATCAAAATCTAGAATTTCTTTGCCACCGGAGGGAGTTTCCCTGATCTCATACGGAGACGACTGTTCGATATTGGCGTTCGGGAATGGACTTGTTGTTGTTGTTTTAGCGACTACAAAAACCCCGCCCAGATCGGTTAATATCTCAGTCGTTGTCGCAAAGTTCCACTAACGGCAGCCCTAAGAAGCATGCAGCCTCAATGGGGTCGGTCCACTGGGACAAAGGCGTTAGGGTTGTTGGGTTTTCCGGCCATACGAAGAGATGCCTCGAGTCTTGTGGTGTCTCTCCGCATGCCGGACACTCATTCAGCACATCTGTCTGCTCAGGTATGAGTTTAACCTGCTGCAGTAGCCAGAGCGAAGTTGGGCTATTGTGGTTCTTATCTCCTGATACAGATGAAGCTCCGTCTCGTCTATGTCTGGTGGGTGTGTGCTTAGAATGGCATTCACAGGTCTGGAGTCTACATAACTCGAGACTGACTCCCTGTGAATGCCGTTCAGGGCCTGTCCATGTGCTGACGGGTCCAGAGGTTATTTAATGAACCTCTGGACTTCGTCCGTCAGTTCGTAGAGATGCCTCCTGACGTGCCTGGCCGTCTATGGCTCCCGACAAGGAGCTGCTTACAGAGCATGGTGTTATGCTCCTTGACCGGGAGCAATTTCGCCTCGTCGTGTAAGTGGTGTTCAGGCGACATCAGAAGCCATCCAGTCGCTGTCCGCAGTGCGGTGTCCCCGGCGACCACACAGGTGCTGCGTAATTTAAAACCGGCCTATATGCTGACGGGTCCAGAGGTTGTTTAATGATCCTCTGCCGTTGGTGAAAACAAAAGGCGCACTTGGTTTTGGCATTCTGTGCAGCCTTCTGGTGACTCGACGTTTGGCTTTATCCACCGGAGGATGCAGAATAAACTGCCGGCTAAAATAGCTCGCGCATTGCTCCGGGTCCGACGAAGCATGGTCACCAAAGTCTATTTCGACTCTGTCGTCCCGCTTCGTCGGATCGGACAATGACCTCACGGTTGACCAAAGCTTACTCACACCAGAGGCGAAGTTGCAGGTCTTCAAATGCTCTTGCCATTTCTTCCGCTTATGTACGTTCACAAGTTGCCGAATCTCCAAACTGAGATCCCTGATACGGGGATTTCCGGGATCGGCCTGACGAAGGTCGTCACGCTCATCGGCTAGAACAGCCGCTTCAACAGGAAAGTTCGGACGTGCATCCTTAATACATCCTGCTGGGATGAAGCGAGCCGCAGCAGCAGTGACAACCCTGCGGAATTTATGTTCACCTATATGGACGTTGGTTGGTATGGGTAGTGCAGTGAAGGTGCTTTCAGTAACATCCGCGAAGCCTTTCCAGTCAGCTTTGGAAATGTTGACATAGGTCCGGTGATCCGCGGAAGCAAAGTCCGCAGGTTTATCAATCGAGATAACTGTGTGCAGATGGTCTGATACTAGGGTCAGCATAGGTCGCCATGATACGCTGTTTATCAGACCAGCGCTTGTTATGTTTGCCGTGCTGCAGCAGCTTCCCATAATCCTGGTGGGTGCGTCGTCGTTCATTGTGCAGAATGTCGAATCGTCTATCTGCTCAGCCAAGTCTGTTCCCCTACGGTCGTTTGACAGGCTGGAGTGCCAAAGATCGTGGTGCGCATTAAAGTCACCTACTACCATACGGTTTTCACCTCTGAGCGCACCTATATCAGGGTAATATCCTGTCGGGCAGCAGGTGACAGGGGGTATGTATACGTTAAATATTTCGAGCTCAACATCGCCTGACCGGATAGCAATACCCTGACATTCTAGGATGGTATCCCTGCGGTCGATGTCTGCTTCAATAAGACGATACTGCACGGTGTGGTGCGTGATGAACGCCAAACCTCCACCATTGTCTCGCTCGCCATCTCGACGGTGCAGGTTGTATCCGCCGCAATTCAACAAGGTTGAATTGCCGTGCAACTTCGTCTCTTGGACCACAGCTATTAATATTCCATGCCTTCCCATAAAGATAGTTATCTCCTCGATCTTGCTCTGGAGTTCGTTACAGGTGGAGTTTTGTATGCAGTCGTTTCTGGCATACGCAGCAGGTGTAAGTTTCTGGCCCTGGGTTGGACTCAATGCCAGCCCTGAGCAGAAGGGTACGGAGCAGATGTAGCCCTAGAATAGAGCAACGTTTGACGGATTTTGCCGACCTAAACGGGGCTAGATCGCCGAAACAACCGCCCTTGGTCGAATAAAACCCGAGTCATTCCGGTACGTAGAACCGTCTGCCGTGGGAAATATACTTTGAATATATGAGCAAACTATTAAGCAAAAAAACATAAAAAATGAGAAATCTACAAAAACCAATTTCCAAAACTGAAAAACAAAAACAACTTCAAAGATCATCTTCTATCTTAAAACAAGATCGAAGCGATTTGAGAAGTTAAGAAAATTCTCTCAAATCATAGTCGTTTGCCGTGGTGGTCATCAAAAGAAGGGGTCTCACCCGAAGCATGTCTTCCTTACGAGGCATGTTTTCCTTAAATATCCAGACGTCGTGAACTGCGATTTGAACCGCACTCTAAAGAATCACTTCTTTGCCCACTTACGTGGACTTCTGCGCACGGAAAAGCTCTAAATACATACAATAAAAAATTTCTCTTTTATTTTCCATCTTTTTTCTCCCGACAGAAAAAGGCAAATCAGAGACAACGCTAGGAGCATTAACACCAATTTCTGCAGTACGAAATAAACTAGAAAAGAATCGAAGTAAAAACACTTCCGTTCAGTGGCTGATGCTCACTCGTAGTTTTTCAATCCCATCATACATACATTAAAGACTCACTTCTACCCTCGATAAACAATCAAAGGAAAAACATATATTTCCGTTATAATTTAAATATCTTTATTTTATTTTCGTTTATCATCATAATATACCATCATCATAAATTCCTCAAACTGTACGTCTATGACATCATAGCTAACGCGTCATCAAGAAAATTGTAATCATTACTAAATGTTTAAATATAATCCAACACTGATCTCATCATTCGTACACAAAACATGTTTCTATATTAACGCTGCGCTAATACTGTATAAAGTACTTGCATTTCTCATACATACATGCGTCGTACGTACGTACGTATGTATGTATTTATCAATTTCGCTAAACCCATGCAAACGTAGCAGCAGAATGCAATGGATCAACCGCCAAGCGAATCAGCGATGAAGACATCATTTTACTAAATGCTAAATCGTTTCAGCACATACAATATTTCTGTGTGGTTTTTTTTTTCTTTTTTAATGTTTACCTGCCTACATTATGTTTTATTAATGAATTCTTTATTTGTTAGCATTTATTTTTATGTGCTGCTTTTTTGTGACGATCACACTGCCTAATTGCATGCATTTGCATGTTGTATTTCTTTGCCTATAATTGCCAAATATTTCGCAATGCAAAAATGACGGCATGCCAAAAACAACCAGTACATTATTTAACACATGTGTTGTTTATTGTTGGCAACTAATTATTAATTTTTTCATTTTACTTCTGCTTGATGTAGCTTTTTCTTGAATTTGTGATTTGGTTGTTGGCATGAAACGGAATGCTTTCGTGCAGTTTCTTGAAATATTTTGCAATTAGCAGAGGGTTTTTTTTTCAATATTCTGTTGTTGGGAATACGCATGGGGAAAATTATTTTACCCTTTGTTTTTTGAAATGAAAAATTTTTTTTTCTATACTACATCCCAATATTATGCATACATATCGCACGTTTAATAATATAACGAAGTATTTAAAAATTTCAATGCAAGGAAACACATTTTTTCAGCCCTTCTTGGGTAGGCCTCTTAGAATGGCTTTACTTAAGAAGGCCTACCTAAATTATCTTCTCGGATATCTTCCCCATACAAGCTTATCAATTGTATATAAGCTTATTAATTACATAATGAAATCTCTAAAAACGTAAATTTTGAGTTACATCTCTATATTATTAAACGCGCGATATATATATACACATATGTGTATGACTGTATGTATATTTATTGTAGTCTCTTTTCAGTTATATTTCTTCTATTGGATATTTTTGCATGTTGTGTGTGATTCATTTTTTACATTAAAGTTTTTTGCATTCTATTGTTGCTGAATATACACTCCGCAACAAACGATAGCACATCAACATTTTTACCAGTTTCGACCACTTTTCTTTTGCTTCTATTAAGGTTCGTTATTTTTGTATAAAAGTATACATAGCTCTTTATCTAACAAATACATACATTATAGATCTAAATTTCAGATTTTTTTTGTGGAAAAGAGTGCATCACACCGTCAGCAAAAAAATTATCAAAATTCAACGCGATTTTTTAGCAACTTAAAAAACAAAAGGCAATAAAACTGCATACCAACAATTATTCTAGAAATTAAAATTAAAATGCATGGAATTGGGATGAAAAGTTTCGGGAATTTTTATAATTTTTGTACAAAGTCTGAGATTTAGATTTATGTGGTATTTGTTAGATGAACCTTAAAAAAATCAGAAGAAAGGTAGTCAAAACTGGTAAAAATGTTGATGTGCTATCTTTTGTCGCGGGGTGTTGGCAAAGTACCTCAAAATGTTTATAATTGTTAATACAATCCGCTAATTTATAACTGCCGTTCAGTTTTCACTTTTTATATAAAAATATATTCCTTGTTATACGCTTAAGTAAATGTTGCTGTTGCTAAGGATACGCTTTGCATTTCGTTTCTATATGTGTGTATTAGCTCTTTTATTTATCTGTCAGTCGTTGCTGTCTGTAAATCCTTGCATGTTGATTCAAGAACAAATGCAATAATCTCTCAAATCGGCAAGAGAAAGTTAATAGTGAAAAATTACAACAGTCTTTAGCAGATAAATTTAGAAAAACTTGTTTATAATCATATTTTCAATGTTTGATTTTAAATCGGCCACAAACTTCCAAGTTTCAACTTTTTATCACGAAAATTAATTACTTTATTATAATCCAAAAACAAAGCCCAAGTAAGAATTGTATTAAAACCGTACTCATATATACATAACTACTTGCATACACGAAATGGACACTATTAGCTAAAATGTGAAAAATCATTGTTGATCTGTGTCTAATGTGTTAAGGGATTCATCCATTTCCATATCTGGCGAAACAAAACTAAAAACCTGTGGACTAATTATCTGGCAAAAAGCATTGAATCAAAATTAAAAATAGAAAGTATAAGAAATTTAAGATATTAGATTTATGTAATTTATCTAGACAACTTGAACACGTATAAAAGATTAGTAAATTATGGTTAACGGGATGTTTTAAAAGTTCAAAGATTTACCATAAGCATGTATAACTCTTGGGACTACCACGTTTTTTGTTTTCGTAGATCGATTTTTTTAGCGAGTTTAATACTTAATTGTGATTAAACTTAACAGATAAAATTAAGTGATTAAAATGGTACCATCTTTTGAACAGGAAAACTTATTTAAAGACGCGATTTCATATTTTTTTTAACTATAATTGGTGAATTTATTTAATTTATAGCTCGAAAAAAAAAACAATTATTTAAAATCAAAACACGTAGTTTCTTAAACACACTGGCGCTTAGGCATTTTAAAAGTATGCAAAAACTTTAAAACAGATTTTTGTTAAACAAAAATCCAAATAATTTCGTTATCAAAAATTGACGTTATTTTGGCTATGAAAACGACGTACATTTGATTTATTGGCTCTACGTAAGCTTATTAACTCAATTGCTAGTTGTGAAAAAAGCTCATTGTGCGGTTTTCTTTCCAACACACTTTTACGCCTGCATCTTTTGAACGATTTATCAATATTATTTCAATATCTATATTTCGTTTTAGCTCAATTTTTCACCATCATCTGTAGCGTATAAAATAACATTAATTGTTTATGTGTAAGTATGTTTTTTTCTGTACGTATGTATGTATATGTATAAATGCAAAGAACATAACAGCGCAATGCAGTCAGCTAAGCAGCTCATTCTTAGTACATGGATGTACGTCCCTACACCACACAACTCTTCACATGGCATTGTCTAATCATTAAATTCCTTTATTTAAAACTAATAATATGTAATAATGCTTGCTTTTACTTTGTTGATTTTTTGCATTTAATGTTCGCAGTCCTGTGAATTTTTTTGCATTGATTTCCACTCACTTTTCATATACTCTATATTTACGTTTTTTGTTTGCTTTCGCTTTGCTCATCGATCATCAAACATTGCACAGATTTCAGACTACACTAAAATTTAGTTTTCTTGATAATGTTTCACTTTTATATTTATTCACGCTTATTTATGGTTTATAGTAAGTATTTGTAAGTTTACTTTATGTTTCTCTTTTTAATATCTTTTAGTATAATTTTTACTTCTTTTATGTACTGTAACATAAGTTTAGAATGTTTCATGTTGCTGCTGTTTGTTAATTACTATTTTTTTATTCGCTCAATAATCCAAGTCGCGCGCGCACTCGCTCGCAGAGGCTGCACTTTCTTCCGAAACTCATTGTTTACTAACTTTTTTGTTCGCAGAATCGGCAATCATTTCACCTCATCTCACTTCGGCCAGCTAATGCTATTCTAAGCAGCTTGCTTGCGGGCCATGCATCTGGTGTGCATATACATATATATATATATAAATCAATGCAATTCATACTCGGTATTCTTGCTTGGCTGTCCGGTTTTCGTTTTTCTGGTGTATGTAGTTTTTTGATGTTTTAGTTTAAATGTTTTTAACAATTTTTTGTTGTATTTTTGGAAGGCATTACATCTTAACTGCATTTCACTTTCACGCTTAAACAAACTTCAGTTATGCGACATTAAATGTCCTGTAAAGGAAATTTTGAAAACCAAAATAATTTTATAATCATCGAATTTTTCTGTTGAGCGCTTAGAACTCACCTGCGCTCCATTTGAGTGTTGTAACCTAGAAATTTCTTCTTCTTTTGATAGTAAAATGCTTTGCCATTTCTCATGTTCCTGGCGGGCGTGCCCTTCGAGAGCTGACAATGTGTTACTCTGCAGGTGAAGAACAAAAAAAGTAATAATCAATACAAGAAAGAATATGTAATACATTTAAAATTATTTTCAAGAGTTTCGTAAAAAAAATACTAGCAGGTGCGAGTCGGACCACTAAAAAAAGCTTTCCTTCGATTTGGTTTTTTTGTTTTTTTTTTTATAACATCTTTTAAAGAAATTATTCCTAGTAAATTAAGATATTAAATCTGTAAATTTGCATGCACATTTTCTTTTATTGTAATTCTAATTCTATGTTGACTTACGGTTTTTGTAACCAGCTTGGTTAACTCATCCACCTTGGCGCGGAGTTGAGTATTCTGCAGACGTAGTTCAACGGCATCAATATCGTTGCCGCCGCCACCACTACCACTACTTTCGCCATCCCCAGTACTATTGTTACTAATACGATTATTGCTATTATTTGTTAAGTTATCATTATGGGAATTATTGTTGGTGTGGGTTGAAGGGGTGTGATTACTGCTACTGCTATTGCTGCTACTCGATTGTGTAGATTTGTTACTACTGCTGCCAGCCGCTTTACTAGCTGTGGTCAATTTCAGTTGTGTGGCCAAAACTTGTTCTACCCACTGTTCAAAGGATGCACTGAGCGCTGTGCTGGCACAAGCTTTAGCAGCCTCTGGATAAAGGCGCTGGAATATTTCACGTATATGTTTCTCTTCAAAAGCAGAAACTGTTGTTGCGGCATTGGCTGTGGCGGAGGAGGATTGTTGTTTCTGTGAAGCGGCGAAAAGTTGCTGCTGTTGCTGAAAGCCAAAAAAATTCACGTAAATTTTTGTGCAAAGGAATTTAAAATAACATTAGGTGCGGACGAGACAGATTTAATAATTGAAACATGCACTTACAACTAGGCTTTCATTTGCGCTCTTAGGCGCTTTATTCTGTCTAGCTGTTGTTTCAGCACTTTGCAAAGCTTCAACCAACTTCCAGTTTTTCTTACGCAAATCCTAAAGCGAAATATGAAAAACATATTAGTAGGAGAATAAAAGCAGAAATGAAAACGAAAACTTAAAAAGTTTTTTTTTGAACTTTTGCAAACTAAAAATGAAACAAAATGTTAAAGTTGTATGCATAAAAAACTGGAAGTTTTATAATGATCCGATTGAACTAGTTTTCAACTTATAAAACATTGTATTCATGTATATTTTCAATGCATTAAATTTATTTTTTACGAAAGCTTATGTCTATATTAAAAAAATAAAATAAAATCATTACCAAGAGCTCAGCAGGTTAAAATAGAAAAATGTTCTATTGTTAAAAAGTCGATCTTTTTTGGTAAGATTCCCTTTAGTGCGAAACATAGAGGAGTCGAAAATATTTCATTCAAGTTATTTACAGTTCTGTAAAAGATACTTCCAAGCTTTTTAAATGAGTAATGAATTCTTTCGTTGAGAGCTTTCGACAAAACTATTCTATGCAAGATTCCCTGCTGCTAGCCTTACAGTATTCAAAGTTAATTAGCCACCACACAAAAAAAATTTCGGATTTTTCGCCCGAAACAAATTCACCCGAAATATTTGCATCCGCCCATCGCGAAAATGAAGCTCATAATAAGGCTGATTGAATGAAAAAACCGACCATATTCTGCATATTTTTTGATATTTTGGGACTATTTTTTCATCAAGATCCGATGTATGTCTTTCTTTCTAAAATTGTTTAATTAGCGTTTTAAAAAAATGGTGATTTCTTTTTAAAAAATTAAAAAGCTTGTTCTGCATTTTCTAAAAACTTATAATTTTGCAAAGCGTAAAAATACTACAATTCATTAACAAATAGCACGTATTTCCATTTTCCGATTCAACATAGCATTGTGAGTGTTAAGCAATAAGAAAAATTTCAGATTTTTTTCTATCTTCACGTGCACGTCGAACCACATAGAAATACTGGTAAAAATGTCAAAATTTATACAATCAAACAAAAGGAACATAACATCGCTTTATTCATCTGTCATTATCCGCATTACTTCGATAATAAAATGATAAACATGTAGCTGACTCGATTTTAGTATCACAATTTCAAATACTTTCTAAATTGAAAAACAGCTTAAGTTATCAAAATGAACAGCCATAATAGATGAGATGTTAAGTGGTGCATGTCTGCAATCTTTGAATAATTCATGTCTAATCCTTACTACTTACTTCAGCAATCCTTGCTACTTACTTAAGTAAGGATCGAACCTGGATTAGACAAGGATTACAAACATAAGCCGCTCTGAGTGGTTTTTATTTTTTGAATAGTGTCGTTATTGCAGAGGACCATCATCGATACGTACACATCGATACTATCAAAGCAAAGCGGTTATCGAGTGGCTAAATAAAAATAATTGTTTTCCAACTCACATCGTTCTTCTCTTTCTGCTCGTGCAGCTGCTGCAGCACCTCCTTTTCTCGGCTGCTCAGCTGCTCCACGGTCTGTTCGACATGCTGCAATTGCTGGTGCTTGCTTGCGATATCACGTTGCAGTGAATCTATCAAATTCTGCAAATCGTGATGATGTTGTGCATTAAGTCGCATTTGCACTTCTAAATTTTCTGACTTTTGTCGCAACGCCGTATTATTTTTAATCGAATCAGCCAACAAATTTTCCTTTTCGGACAATTGTAACTGGAGTATACCGAGTGTTGTCTGTAAACCAGATTGTTCTGCTGCTTGGCTATTGATACCAGCCAATTGCTGCAGCAGCTCCTCATTTTTAGCTTGCAGTGCAACTATCTGGTTTTGCTTCTCCACCAATTCAGTACTACGAGCCGCAGACGTGTCGAGCTCTTGGCGAGCTTGGGCCAAATCGGCCTTGGTTGATTCATGCGCATTCTGTAAGTTATGTAATTCCAGCTTACGTTCGGCATTTTCGATTTCGAGTGCTTTTGCCTTTTCGAGTTCGAAAATGCGGTTGTTCGAGATTTGTTCGAGTTCTTCGCGCTGCTGCTCGAGAAGACTTACTTGTTGTTTGAGCTCTTCATTCGCCTGGTTACAGGCGTTCACCAAACAGGTCAAATCATTGATACACTTATCCTTGTGCGCCAACTCGCTTTGAATACGTTGTAGTTGTGCGAATAGGTCTTGAGAACCATTTTGCTTCTCAAGTAAAAGCTTAGCTTGGAATTGTTTGCGCTCTTGTGCAAATTTATCGTTGAGAACTTGTATTTCCTGATTGAGTGCGGTAATCTCCTGCTCCTTGGACTGCAACTTCTCAACGTATACTTTCACAGTGGCATTTAACTGAGCGCGTTCGGTATTGATTTCAGTGCGCAATTCACGCAGTTTAGCCTGAATTCCCATAGAAGCTTCCTGCTCCTCAGTCAAAGCTTTCTCTTTCTCTTCCAATTGACGTTTCAATTTCTGACATATATCGTCCGACCATTCCGAATGTGTTGCTGGTGTATCCTGCTGTTTGTTCAGCAAATAATCGATAAGTATCTGGATCTCGGATCGATTGAGTTCAGCACGACGGAAGAGATTCATGAGCAACGAAACGCCAATCGTATCAGAGTCGGAAAGCTTATCCAGTGCAAGTACCAGCTCTTTAGTGGCGGCGGTTTCTTTGTTCTGCTTTTTATTTTGTTGCTTGACGGTTTTATTGTTGCCACTGGCATTGTTAGAGACATGTGTTTTCGGCGAGCCGTGACGAGCTTTGTCATCCTGCTGTTTTAGCTCCTTGGCTACATGCACGTGCGTTACCGATTCGGCGACCGGCTGCTGTTGTTGCTCAACAACAACTACCGGAGCTGGCTTTTCAACTGGCACATTTTTTTCTTTTTTAATATTCTTTTCCTTCTTATTATCCTTCTTCTCGTGTTTTTTCAACTCGAGTATATCCTTGGGTTGCTTTATCTCGAATGTGTTTGCGGGCTCCTCAATCACCAAATTCTCACGCACTATTACCGGTTCATTCTTGTTCACCAAAATGCCCGACGATTTGCTCTTCTTCTCCTTCTTCGATTTCGGCTTCGACAAGTTCTCCTTTTCAGCGATGCTGGCACGTCTTACAGCTTCGGGCGTAGCGCCAACAATCACCTCTGGGTCTGGGTCAAATTCGACATGTGTTTTAGATAAGCCCTGAGGCTCATCCTCCACCGATGGCTGTTCGGATTGTGCATCGGAGTCCTCTTGCTCGGTATTTTCCTTTTGTTGTTCGCGTTGTAACTTTTTCTTTTCACGTTTAAGATCCTTTTTAGTGGGTTGCTGTTTTTTAGGCTTCTTTACGCCTACTTTACTCTGAGCGTAAATTTTATCGGTTAGTGCCTTTTTTTCGGCAACAACCTCCTCGAATGTTTTGCGACGGAAAAATTTATTAATGAAAAGCAGCGAGAGAAGGGAGGCGAGAAATACGCAGCTGATAATAACCAATAAGTGGAAGTCCATCATTGCATAATTTTAACGAATAATCCTGTGCAAAATATGAGAAGAGAAAAACGGTAAATTAATATATGTAGATATTCCGACTTTTATATTGGATAAGTATGGTCTTTTATAACTATATGAAGTTTTAGCAGGTTTCAAAGGTCTAACAGACGTTGTTGACGTTGCAAAACAAACTGAATATTTTTTCAGCAGCCGTGCTGGCGGATAAGATAAAGGCTAGGAATATACACACTTATACATACATATCTACATATGTACATATCAGTGGATGCCTTCTTTCAGTACAAATGGGGAATAAATAATTTATGAGCGTGAATAAAAAATTATTGAGAATTTCGTGTTCATGTGTACTTAAATATGCATGTATACATATACACATGTATACAGATATGTATAACAGATAGTAGCACCGTTGCGCATGCACTTTGTAATCTATATATTTATGTATTCGTATTGTTTATCAATACGTTTATAGGAACTTCGGAGCCGACAAAATCTGGAAGGAATTTGGCATTTTAATGTATTTTCTTTTTGGTATTAATTTGAATTAAGCATGGATTTTTTGAATTAGCATAGAGTTTAACTACGCCAATCAGCACCATACATATACATAATTTAAAAAAACAGTACATCAAGGTCCAATGTGAAATCCATACCATATTTCTGTAAATCTTACAAAATATATTTTTGATTTCAGAGTCCTTTTTTGACTATAACCACGATATAAATTCTTCTTTGAGGAGGTATATTTTAGCAAATCAGTTCTCTATCGGAGTTGTAATGTTCTTTCGATTTAAATAGTCCGTTAACTGATTCGAACGGAAAACAGAAAAGGAAGGTTCCAATATTCTTAGTAATGATTTCATTTAGCAAATTGGCGAGGCGCAGACTAATCTTGAGAAATGTAAGTCTAAACAAGTAAGAAAGTCTAAGTTCGGGCGGGGCCGAACATTAAATACCCGGCGCAAGTATCACATATATGCCTTTTCACCTTTCCGAAAGCTACCGCTACACGATAAGCCGGGGTGTATCAATTTTGAATAAATTAGCGTCCTTAAATTTCGAAATATTGACGTTTCGAGCATTTCTAAAATTTACCGTTATATGATAAGTGGTCGTAATTTTAATCTGATTCCAATAATTTTCAGCGGTTTGCTTCTATGTGGCAAGCACAATAATCATACCGAGTTTGGTACAAATTGGTAGAACGGTTACCGAGATACATATATGTGATCATAAGTGGGCGGTGCCACGCCCATTTTCCAAAATTTTATGATAAGCGTATTTCCTGATAAAGAATTGTTGCAAGCATCAATTTTGAATAAATTAGCTTCAATATTTACGGATTTATCGAAGATTTCGTATTTCTCCAAATTACCGTTATATGGGATGTGGGCGTGGTTAATGTCCGATTTTGAAAATTTTCGGCCATTTGGTATCCTGTACCAAGGCCAATAATTGTGCCAAGTTCGGAAGAAATCGGTGCAGCGGTTGCCAAGATATACACATGTAACACTAAGTGGGCGTGGCTACGCCCATTTTTCAAAAATTTATAATATTCTTATTTTTTGTCTAAAAGTTATTGCATATATCAATTTTGAGTGAATAATCTTCAGTAGTTACTAAAATATCGCAGTTTTAGTATTTCTGAAAATTACCGTTATATGGGAGGTAGGCGTGGTTATTGTCCGATTTTGCCCATTTTCAATACCATCCGTCCTACGGCCGAAAGAAGTACACGTACCAAGTTTCGTTAAGATATCTTAATTTTTACTCGAGTTATCGTGTGCACAGACGGACAGACGGACGGACGGACGGACGGACAGACAGTCACCGCTTAATCGATTTCTTTTTTCATCCTGATCATTTATGTATACATTTGTCTATATCTATCTCGATTCGTTTTGCCTGTTACAAACAACCGTTATGTGAACAAAGTTATAATACCCTTGTGCACAAGTGCGCTCGGGTATAAAAATGCATCGAAAAAAGATCGAATCTTTCTGATTCTTATGGAGTTTTACTTTGCTTTAAACAGGCAAAATGTTGTATTCACAGTTTAGCAAAACAGACAACATATGTATTAATTTTTAATTTGGGAATATAACGACTGCTGAGTTGAATATCGACCTGTCCCGGCAGCCAGTTCGAAAACGCCAAATCTCAAAAAAACTTTCAAGAACGCCCTATTTCAGAATTCGGTTCACAAATGACCTATCCCAGCTGCCGATGCAAAAACGCTCTATATCAGCAAATTTTCAGTACATTCTCAAGTGAGATAGGGCATTTTTGAATCGAATTCTGAGATAGGGTGTTTTCCAATAAAATTCTAAAATAGCGCGTTTTAGAAAAGTGTTTTGAAATAGGGCGTTTTTGAACTGGCTGTCGAGATAGATCGATCTTCCATTCAGCAGTAGCAAGGCACATTAAACAGGTAGTATAAGTAGAGCAAAAACAACATTTGCGTGTATTTTGTTGTTGCTTCTGGTATCGAAAGTGTCAAAAACTGTTCTGAATTTTTCTTCTAAATCAAAGCGTGCCATGTGAAATACAAAAAATTATAAAAAATAAAAAATTGAAATTTGAAAAAATAAAAATTGTTGCAACTTTCTTTCCTAGTAAATTTGTTTGCTTCTCGAAGCATTGATCCATCCTTTACAAGGGCCAGTAACCAGCGGTTGTGCTGCTGAGTTGGGCGAACGTTCCAAAAGCTGCTATTCAATCGCTTGTTTTGTATGGATAAAGGTTTCACATCCAAATGGATTTTAACAATTCAGAATTTTTGTGAGAAAAAAATAAAAATATTTGACATTTTCGAGACCAAATAATTTGAAAATAAATCAAATCAGCTGCTCTACTGATACTACCTGTTCAATGTACCTTGAGCAGTAGATATGTAAATTCAAAACTTCAAAGCCGTTTTTCTCGAGTTTTTTTTTTTGAGTTATGACACTATGGAAGTAAATGAGCAATATGTATGTACACACATGCACATGTGCAAAATTATTTAATCGAAAAATATTTTTGTCATTTGCAAATATTTTCTTTAAAAATAAATATACAATTCGAAGAAGACCTTATCAAGCGTATGCACATGCAATAGCAGCGAGGAATCTTATCAATAATATGTATGTATGTATGTACTAAATTCATAAATAAAGCAAGACGACAAAGTAGTCGATGATGCTCGACTCGGCAACAAAGTAAATCTTTTAAGTAAAATCAATAATATACTGCCGAAAATAGCACTTTTTCATTGATACCAATGTAGCTATGTATTTATGTACATATTTACATATGCACAAATGCAAACATACTTATGCACAATAGGGCTGTGCGATTAATTTATTATTCAAAATTTTAATTAATCATGAAATAAATAACTCAATTATTCGATTAATTGAAAATTATGATTACTCAAAAGTTCAGTTACTCGGGTAATCAAGATTTTTACTAGCCAAACACAAAAATAGTTGAGTAATTTGCTTTGTGACTAATCAACATTATGAGTAAAATGGGTAATCAACATTTCAAAGTACTCTTTACATATAAAGTAGTTGAAGTTCCTTGATACTTTGAAAACAACGTTTCTGTTTTCAAAAATTAAAATAAAATATTTTTTATCATATACAGATTGTAAAAGAGAAAATAAGCATTTTCCAAAGCAAACTTTTTTAACGAGCAAAATTAAGTTTTTTGAGTAATCATATTTTAAGTCAAAATCTTGATTACTCGAGTAATTGATTAACCAAATAACTGATTAACCAACTTGCTCGAATAATCGCACAGCCCTAATGCACATATGTACATACAGATGTATGTTCTTCGTACATAAAAAATACATACTTATTTCAATGTACTTTGTATAAAAAAAAACACTTCATATTTTGCGCTTGTGTCTATGACATATCGCACACCGTCTGCAAAAGAGACACAACTAAAAATTTAGCATTTTTGAAATTATCCGCTAAAAATGTACGCAGAGCTCTTATTTACCTTTTAGCAAAAGCTGGAGCAAGTTTTTGTTATAATTTATATAAAAACGCAGTTTTTTCGCATTTTCTGACAAACGTGTAATTTTGAGTTGTGCCCTTTTTGAAAAAGGTGTGCGATATGTACTTTATGATGGTATGTATTTAGATGACGTGTACTTTGCAAAATGACAAGAGTGAAAATGTGTACAAAGTCAACAGCAACGAAGATAATCACGAAGGTAAACAAATATGTATGTACCCTAAAAGAAATCAGGAAGATCAATGACATTGGTTAATTTTGTTGTTTTTAAAGAAATATATTCGACTTTTAATTACACACTTACATATATCCAGCTAGCGAAAGCAGTAATATTGAAATATCAATAGGCTTTCTCAATAAAATTACACAAAATGGTTTTAGTTTACTTTCCTCGACCCTGACTTTCTGTACAATGACGCTTGCTTTTATTTCAAAATGGATCCTCATGATACAAAGTTATCGATAAATGCATAATAGCTTAAGGTCTAGTTACACGATGCTTAAGGTCTAGTTACTTGATATGGTATAACGCAGTATATTACAAGGTATTTACAATGGCCCGTAGTCATAGTCAAAATAAAGTCGACTTTAAAGTTAGTTGCAGCTTTTTTGACAGATATCCCATTGAAAATTATGTCAAAAAGCTGGAACTAACTTTAAAGTCGACTTTATTTTGACTATGACTACGGGCCAATATAATTACATGTGTGCTCGTCCTACAATATGTAATATGAGCCCAAGGTGCTATTCAATTTGCACGTGCTGTCATATTTTATGCATTGACGTTTTAACAATTATATTTAAGTGCCCAAGGTAAACATTAGTTGTGTTTTTTTTACAAATTATCCAGTAACTGGACAGCCAGCCAGCAACTCTCCAGTAACTTTATTTCTAAGAATTCGCTCTCATAGAAAAAATTTGCAAAAAAGTACGTGAACGCTTTTCCAGTAATAATTTGCAAGTTTCATGAACAGCTGATAAATTGGTTGTTTATTCGCAGCAAATTCCTAA